CCCCCCCCCCCCCCCTTTAATGTATTAATTTTTAGCATGGATATATTAATCATTTACATACTTTTGTATAGGTTTTCCCATAAATAATTAACTTTAACTAATAATGTAAAAAAAATTTAAAATATACAAACTAATGTAAATATTATTCATAAAATTTGAAACCAAAATATCATTACCCTTGAACTTAATTAGAATATTGAAACAAAAAAAATGAAAACAAAAAAAAAGTGACAAAAAAATATAACCATATAATTTTGGTTAAATAGCAAAAATTAGAGATCTTTTTTGGAGAATATTCGAACATATTGGAGAATATGAGTTTTTTAAAACTAGATCTTATAATTTTAAAAAAAGATTAAATATAGTAATTTTCAATATTATTTGCCTTTTTAAAATTCTAAATCTTATAAATTTAATAAAACATTATACATAGTAATTTACAATATAACTAGCTCTCATTTTAGTTTTGTTTCTTAAATTACTCAATTTTAGAGTCATATTAATAAAAATAATTGATCACTTTTAAATTCAATTAAAAAATGTTCACATATAAATCAAGGAATGTGTCATTTCATCTATCATCATCACTCAAGTTTAAATGCATGTGTTCACAGAAGATTAATATTTTAATTTAAAAATAGAATAAGTATTTAAACTTTATTTTGTTTTTTTAAAAGTATAGTTGGTAGGAACATCTAATTTTTCTATAACAATTGAAAACATGGAAAATTAACTTAACGAGAGATAGGTGAGATCAACTAGAAATGCAAGAGAGAAAGGAAAAATGAAATACTTCAACAAAAAAGCACATAAAAGGTGCATATTTTTACAATTATTGTTTTATTTTAGCAATTCAACATACATATATCACAATCAAAAATATTTTTTGGAAGTTTCCCAGAAACCATATGTAATTAAACTCTAAAATCGATGCTTTAGATTTTTCACGCATGCTTCTTTTTTATATAGTATCCTAATTAATGCACACGTGTTTAAAAATTTTGTAATAGCTAAATTAAACAAAATATTGGTGGCTATAATTCCTTCATAGTTTCCGAGGCAATATAAGGAAGTATGGTCTGAGCTATGAATAAATAGGAGATAAGGTAATGATTTTTGACTTGCGAATTTATTTAATGATTGCTATGTGATGTTATTAATGGTATACCTATGTGCATGACATTGTATGAAGTTATGATCTAGTGGGTTCGTCTGTATGCATAGTTGAAACGTTAGATATTTTTCACTTAGTTTCAATGCTGAGCGTGTAGCCCTTTTTCCTATTTGCTACACGTAGGTAACAGGAACGATGAATAAGAAAACAGTCCTGGAGGTAGCGAGGGCATAGAGGTGGATGGATGCTGACTGGAGGAGTTATCTAAATTAATTATTGCATTTGAATTTATTATTCTTAAAGGGCAAGAATCCAAAGTTGTATTTTAAATTAAGCTTTCGCATCGTTTTTGTTAACTCCGATGGATATTTAAACATTATTTTGAATTTTAAATTTTTTGAAAAAATTATTGTGTCTAATGCCAATTTAGTAGCAACTCGATTCGCTAACTCGTTGGTTCGGGTTACGCGGATTGGGGTGTTACACTCTCTCAAGGGGAAAACACTTGGTCAGATGATTCCTTGTCAAACAATCCTTATAGTTGAATTTTCAATCTCAAGGAACGACATTCAATATGGAGTTACGATTCTCGATCTTTTCTAAGAACAAGATTGATAAAGAATTCAATTTCTCGAAACGATGAAATATTAGGAAGTTCATATCAGAGAGGTTACATACTTTCAGTACGTCCTTCACTTCAGAGGTTTCCTTTCGCGTATCATACGAATAGTCTTCACACTTTTTACAGTTGAGACATTTTTGCGTGTGTATCGAGATGAACTCGGTCGGTCTAAAAATCAGCTTTGCTTTCACCTCTATGAGCATACCATCATTGGTCTTCAGTTGAAGAATTCTTTATCACAAGTTGTTAACAGCAATGACGTTCAGCCAACCAATTCATAGTAAGAATAATGTGAATTTCCTTGTATGGTATTTCAACGAGGTTTTGTAAGAAATTGTTGTTTAACGAATGATTTCGATTCAAAAGATATAATCGCATATTACATCGTAATGAGTTAGACATCAGATGGGATACTAAGAGAATAGAGTTTATTAATTCTAAACGTTTGTATTTGAATCAGCGATCAGATCATGTTGAGTCCACATGAAGATCTCTGACATCAGATTCACATATGTTGTTCGTAAAATCCTCACTAATCATTTTTTTCTTTTCAGGATCGTCTAATTCCCACGTAGATAAATTTTCACTTTCGTCATTTGCGATGCGATAAACACATTGATATTAGATCAGGGAGTCTTACATTTTCGTTTATTCTTTCGTCTCTTGTCGAGTACAAAAATTCTACTTGAGTCTACGCTCAATACGATTTCAGTACGAAAAATTGTTATCTAATGAGAATTTAATACAGTCAATATTTCTCAAATAAATTCTCATTACCTTTCCTGTAGCAGAGGGATGAGAGAGTCGTGGATGTGATTTACATTTTTTAAAAAATCAAATTTAGATCTGAAGATTGGGTTTAAAACTATTTGCTCCGACACCAAATTGTAACACCCTAATTTGTCCAGGCCTGCAGCTCCTTTTGGACTAAAGTATAAACTTGGTATTCGTAAATATTCAAAATATTTCAAACATTTAAAAACTTTATTTTGTAATAA